AATAATCAAAAATACAAATTTTTGTCTTTGTAATTAGTTGTGTTTTTATTAAGTTATTTAATCCTCTATGTAGCATTCCATTTTAATAGAAATGTTTTTTACCATTTTATTTGAAATTTTTGAACAGAAAAATTCTTTTATGCTTTGTGTTTGTATAAAAAGGGAATTTGCAATTGACGAGAAATTAAGTGTCTTTAAAAATTCGAAAAATGGATTTTTAATAATCAAAAATACAAATCTTTGTCTTTGTAATTAGTTGTGTTCTTATTTAGTCATTTAATCATCTCTATTTCATTTAATTTTAATTGTTATTGCAAAGATACAGAGAAAAAAAAGTGACTTTACCTGGGATCGAACTTACGTTTTTTGGGTTGAACCAATATGCCTAGCTTATTTAATTTTGCGAAATATAATATTTGTTTTATTTTTTTTTAATTATAATTTTTTTTTTAATGAAAAACTAGATGTAATTAACTCGTATGTTCATCAGTAATTAATAGTTTTGATAATTGACGCACCCGCTACGTTAAAGTGCAACTTTGAGCACTTTTGAGATGACTATGTTACTAAAATTTTTTTTAGCAATTATGTAAATTCATGTTTTTTTTCTTGATACATAGTATTGCACATTTATGTAAATCTTAATTATATTATTGTTGGTATTTTTATTTCCTTCTTTTAAAATGATTACATTTATTATAATTTTTGTGAAAAGATAGGAAAAAAAAGTGACTTTACCTGGAATCGAACTTACGTTTTTTGGGTTGAAGGAATTTCTCAAGGGTTTCTGTACATTTTTTAATTCAATACTCAATATCTCAAAAATTATGAATGGTGTTCAGCGCATAATTTTACGTCTAGAAATCCATATTTCAACCGTTTTTACGATTTTTAGTAAATTGACTATTTTTACGATTTTACTACTCAGAAACTCAAGAAAATCGTAATTTTTTAAACTTGAACCAATAACGTTTTATGCATTTTTTTGAGTCTTTAGCACCTCTAGAAATGTAAAAAACGTTAAATAGATCAATTTTAAAGTAGATTTTTATTTTTGATTTTTATCGAAATTTTGGTCGATTTTTGGTACCCGGAGCGGTTTACTGCTAATAACTCTGAAACGTTTTTTTTTTCACTCGAAAACAAGTAAAACAACCTTTGTTCGTAGCGCAATTCTTTATCGAATTAATTCTAATAATTTATTAAAGTAGTTTTACACACTAAACATGCGATAAAATTATCGCACGATATTTACTTAAACAGTGACTCGACAATTTGTGCTTGAAAACAATTAAAACATTGTTTATTTGTTATGCAATTTTTTTGTTTGTTGTGAAAAATTGACAAATTTGCAAAAATTGCAGATTTCGGCAACTTGGGTTTAATTCTGGATAAAGTCAACTTTCTTTAAATTAATGATAAATTTTTTTTTTAATTTTGAAAAAAAAATTACACGCCGCCACTGGACTAAATTTTCAGTTGTTACTATGGCGATTTTTACTTTTTTACCTGTTACCATAGTGTTACATGCATAGTTCAGGACATTTCCATAGCAACGATATGATCTACATACATGTGCGACTCGTCAAGGACGGAAAAAATATTTACAAAGAAATAAATTTCCATTTTTTTCTCACTTAAAATTAAATAAATTTTGCTTTCTTTCGCAATTTTATTTCTCATGTTAACGTAGCAAAAAATTTTGAGTTACTTTTTTTTCTAAATCTCACCAACAATTAAAATTAAAAAAAGCTACTTAAAAATTATTACACGCCGCCACTGGACTGAATTGTTGTTATTATGGTGACTTTGCCTTTTTTTAATTAACTGTTACCATAGTTACATGCATAGTTCAGTGCATTTCCACGCATGTGCGACTCGTCAAGGACGGAAAAAGGAGTTTTCAAATAAATATTTTTTTTCTCACTTAAAATTAAACGAATTCTGCTTTGTTTTCAAAATTATATTTCTCATTATTTGTTAGAAACATTAAAAAACTCAGTATTAATTGTGGCAAGTTAACATAGCAAATGCGTCAATTATCATTATTACTATTATTATCGCTGATTTAAAAAAAAAATGTATAAAATATTTTGAGATACTAAGTAGTAAATAACTAAGCATGATATAATTTTTGTTTTATTTAAAATTTGTTTTGCTATTGTTTTGCAGCTTAAAATTGATAATGAACTGTTTTTTTTTTTCAATTAATTGAGTGATTAAAATTTGAAACAAAAAATTTGAAAAAAACAAGCTACTTAAAAAATTATTACACGCCGCCACTGGACTAAATTTTCAGTTGTTACTACAATGGTGACTTTTACTTTTTTTAATTACCTATTACCATAGTTACATGCATAGTTCAGTGCATTTCCATAGCAACGATATGAGCTACACACATGTGCGACTCGTCAAAGACGGAAAAAAGGGTTTTCAAAGAAATAAATTTTATTTTTTTTATTTAGAAAAAAAAGTATGCAAAAATAAGTTGAGGTTTTGCTTTCTTTTGCAATTTTATTTCTCATCATCAAAAGTACTAAACGGTTTCGTCAAGAACATCAAAAAGGGTTTTTTGTAAATACTTAAAATTATTTTTTTATTGTTTTGCAGCTCGAAATTAATCAAAAGAAAAATATCAGAATTATTCAACGTATGTATGAGTATGACTAGTCATTTTATCAGCAATAAAAATGATAAATAAATTCATTAAAAACCAAAACAAATAATTTTGCAAGCCGAGCAACTTTCAATTTAAATATCGCTTACACTTATCAAATATTACACAACTGTGATAATCAAAGAAAAAAAAAATAACTGTTACATTTCGGCAAAAACAATACTTACAAAAACAATCATTATGAAAAAAGCAGCAAAATACGAAGTCCTCGCCATCCACATACTAACAAAACGATAATGTTCCCCAGTTACAACATTTCTACAAGAAAAAATAATAATTTGTGGTAGTTTTTTACCAAATTAAACTACCTAAGATATCCTTTATTGTCCTCTTGTTCTGCCAATGTTTTAATCGAAGCCATAAGCAAATCATCGTAACCCAAAAACTCATCTAAAACTAAACGACTAAACGCATCCCCAAAACACTCATCTTTCCCCGGATCAAGTGTCACAATTTGAACCGGAATTTTCAGTCTTGCTCTTGTCATTGGTGACAAACGCAAAAAACCATACTCAAGAGAATACTCGACAATATATTCATCACCAGACCAGTCTACAATAATAAATAAAATTGATTTGTTAAATAAAAACTGAAATTGAAATTAACCTGAAGTTTTCACTTGAGACTCTTTATTCTTAACATTTTCAGTTTCAGTCAATTCTTGAGTTTGTTGTGGCAACGAGGGTATTTCAGTCAAGCGCTGAAACCCGTCCCAAATCGTTGAAGAAATCTGTGAGACATTTAATAGAATTGAGTCGTTCCTGCTCTCGTTTATATAATCTAAAAGTAGAAAAAATACAGTATGTGATCAGGGAGTGTTGGTGGTTACTTTGTGTCAACGGTTCGGTCTCCTCCACCGCCGAGGGCTCAATATTAACAAATCCATCCCTGGCTAAAAGCCCCAAAACATTTGAAATATCGTCGACTTTCTCCTGTTTTAGTTTCTCCTCTCTGGCGTAACTCTGCTCAATGTTGTAGTCTTGTCCCACATTTCGCACAATTTCCACCCGTAGAATCCCGTCACGGGGCCACGTGTCTTTCACGTGTTGCAAACAAGTCGTAGGAGTCTTAGAAAAAGCAATGTGTATATACACTAGTACAAAAAACGCGGCTATCGCCTTGATTAAAATAATAAATTCGAAGAAACGTCGCACTGGCTTTGGAAAACTCCTAGCATAAACTAAGGCTACTTTAAAGAATAAAGTGTGAAATAAACGGTCTCTAACGTTAAATAACGGATTCTGATTGTTGTTATTCCTAATTCTATTCGTGTTGATGAGGGGCCCGCCTCCGATGTGGTTGTTCTCGGGGTTGACCCCCTCGGGGATGCCCTGATTCGACATTTCTCACCCAAATTTCAACATTCTGAAACTGAATTCATTAAAACCAACTACTCATTTGACGTAATATTGGGACAATTGAAACGTCTAAAAATGTGATATTTACCTCGATTTGAAGCTAAAACACCCCCAGAAACATTCCTACACGTGAATTAAACACCACTTGTGTCCTATTTATTTTTATTTTGATATTTATTCACAAAAAGCACAGTTTTGAACCAACATATGTCAACTTGACACTGACAGACAAGTGTCCTACTTTACCGGCCTAATTGACACGTTAAAAAAACCTCTCATTTTTGTAATTAATTGAATGAATTAAACCCCACTTGCCTTTTAATCATTTAAATTGTGGTATTTATCATAAAACGCACAAATCAATTGATTTAAATCAAGATTTGTCAATTCGCGTGTCCTACTTTACCGGCTCAGGTCATTAAATAAAAACCAGTGACCCTCAAACTTTTATTACAAAAATACATACAGTGACATTACAAAAATGTAAAAAATTGGGTAAAACCATTTCCTGACCCACATTTGATTCGTGGAATACTGAAAGTCGTTCAGTGACGTAATAAGTGTTTCCACGAGAAGTATCAAGGAAAAACAAGCACAAATCGAAATAAAAATGTCGCTTGTTTTCAAATATGGCGTCGGGTGTGTGGCACTATACGAAATTAACACAAAAATTAAAATTGTTACATTGAAAAAAACTAAATTCTTATTGACACAAAACGACAAAAAATTGAGTAAATTTAGGGGTAAAAAAATGCAAAAAATATAGGGTTCTGACCGCCGTTTCACACTAAATTGTGCTACAGCAACACTGAAATTACCTAAAAGAAATATTATTTATTTTTTTAGTTCAAAATTTAATTTTTACCCTCATTTCTAGTTTCAATTTCTAGACTTGTTTCAATCTTGGTTACCTCAAAATCGTTAAAAACCAGATTTGTGGCCACTTTTACCCGTTTTAAATCCCAAATTAACTCAACTTCGTCTTTAAGAAACCTAACTAAAAATCACAATCAAAAAAATAATTATTAAAATACAAAATTTTGCTTACATGAACCAAATTTAAAGTCACACTTTTGTGTATCAAAGGGAAATTTGCGATAATCCCAAGTACAAAAAATTTTCAAATTAATTTTTTCACTCAAAATGACACGTCCCTCAAAACCCCTCCAAAAAATTGTATCCTCATCACTTTTCCCCCTCTCCCCGACCACATTTACGATTTTAGGGCTCCAAATTTGGCCATTAATTGCCATTTTATGGGTTTTAGGGTTGGCCCCCAGACGGGAATCGACCCATCGCTGGGTCAACAACCCCCCCAACTCGACCCCCTAATTATTATTATTATCACTAGAAAAATCACCAAAAACTCACCAAATATTTATTTTCGAAAATTTTTAACTCGTGAATCATTAAGGAAAGATTTACATATAGAGGGCGCCCTTTGAACGAGAGGGCTGTGCCCATTAACATGAAACAAATGAATTTCGCCATAGCTGGCTTGATACTAACAGATGTTTGGTACAGTTGGCAAAACAATTAATGACACAATTAGGTATTTTAAGCTGGAGAGAGTTTTATTTTGGGGTCAAGGAGGACCAAAATCCCTGCAAGGGACGAAACCACCCCCAGGCAGCCCACAGCCCCCGGAGACAGTTTCGTGTGGCCTAAAGCCGTCAAAGGAATGAAAAAATCGCAAGCATTTTTCACCGTATCAATGATAACCCCCCGATTACTCTGCAAAACTGTCACAGTCCTTAGGAAAATTGCACACAAATCGTTGAAATTCTGAACACCGCATTGGGGCACAATTGTTTGTTTTTGTGCCCTAATAATGGAAGAAATCTCGTAAAAGTCCCTAACTAAGTTCATTGTGATGGAATAAAGCCAATATTTGTTTGAAATTCGGCTCCATTTCTGTGTGTCGATATTACAGAGATCTGCACGACCTAACCACAACAAATGATCGGCTAAAAGAAACAACGAGTTGGCAATCCGGCTCAGGATTACAGTGTGGCGAACTGTGGGGTCCCCATGGTCGAATAAAGCTACCGTTGAGTACACAACATCGAGACATTTACCAAAACGGAGCACTAGAAAAAGTGAGGTTAAGTGGGTTTGAGACCGGACTAGACTCACATTTTCGAAATGTGCTCAATTGAAACTCCAGGTTTTTAAAAACGTTCACTTGGTCTTTGTTACTGTGTTGCAAACGGTGCCAGAGGATTCGACTCAAATACTGCAACAATCTGGATAAATAAAAATGTGAGGTTATGTTCGGTGAAAAATCATTATACAAACCTTGCAGTTTTGTCTCTCCCGGCTGTTTGTCCATTCAATTTAACCCAAGAATCCATTGTGACACTTCAAAACCTGTCATTAACACTAATTAACGGGTCAAAGTACCAAATTTTGTGTTTTGACAGTTCATTGTAGAAAGAGACGCCATTAGCCGTGTTGCATGCGTGCGAGTGAGATGCCAGATAGTTGAGTGGGGCCCCAAACAATGGACGACGACTCCGACAAGGACATCAAGCCCATAATCGCCCCAAAATGCGAATTGGGTTTGTCACCGGACTTGAGCAGTGGTCCCAAAAAGTGGTCACCTGGTTCGCTCCAAGACGCAAACCGGAAAAGTGCCTTCCTGCCTTACCGACAGAGTTTGTGTACAGTGTTGACAAATTTACAGCGCGGGAACACTCAAGCCGAGACTCCGGTGCCCCAATCGGCCGATATTAATTTCCATACGAAGGCGGGGCAAGGGGAAATCACCGAAAATGACATTGATTGTGAGAAATCAGTGGATGTTTGTGACTGTCATGGATTGACAGCGTTGCATTGGGCCGCCGCCTATGGACAGTACAACACTGTGCAATTATTGCTCGCAAATGGGGCCGAAATCGATAAAAGGGGGCCCGAGGAGGAGACTCCGTTGACTTTGGCCGCCTCTGGGGGGCACCATGACGTCATCCGGTTGCTGGTAGACAAGGGGGCTGATGTCAATCATCCCGATCATGTACGATAACTTGTTATCACTGATAACACTCAACATTTTTTTTTTAGCTGTGTAACACACCTTTAATGTACGCGGCGAGGGGGAATCACCCACATAGTTGCCAAGAGTTGTTATTACACGGGGCCGATTTTAAATTGCATAATTTGAATGGGGACACAGCACATGTGATTGCAGTCGAAAATAATAGCACTTTGGGTAAATTGAGAAAAAAAATGTTAAGGGGACTAAAACAGTGATTTTAGCACAAGCTGTCATCACGAATTTTATCATTTCGCAACTGGATCCAGGCTCGTAAATAAGGAATTTTTGTATTTTTACTTATAATAAAAACAAACAATTCTTTGAAGCTTTCTGTATTTTTACTTACAATAAAAACAAATAATTCTTTGAACCACTCTAACACTGTTTTTGCACAATTTTCTTGTCTAGGCAAAAAAAATTTCGAAATCGCTTCCTCTTTTGTAAACAATCGACTATTTATATCATGTAAAGAAAGTGGATATATTAAATCAGATTCATTGTATTGAAAATTTCTATAATGTCAAAAAATTGAAAATTTTTGAGACATTGCGACTCCATAAAGATTATTTACATCGAAATGTGTACATTACGTAAAAATATCGATTTTTTGGTTGTCTGTTCTTATATAAAATCGTCCTGGGAATCCCCTAGTACAAACCGTTCTACTCTAGAACCGATAGTTTTCAAGTTGTGAATTTTTTTAGTTTAAAAACCCGACAAACTACATTTCTGATTGAAGTGACCCATGACTTTGAGATAAGTTGGCAACACTGTGTGTGACCTTTGAATTTGATAGTTCATGTCGCTAACTTAATTTTATAGCACATTTGAATTTTCACAAAAATTAAACTGAAGTGTCAGGATTAAAAAACATTAAGATTTTTTCGTTTTTTGTTTTATTATTGTTTTTTTGTCTGGTGTTATTTTTCTTGTTTTATTTATTATTGAGGAAAAGAAAGAAACATTCGCTTTTAAATTTTTTTTATCAATTTTTTGGAATTTTTTAGTTTTTTATTAATTCTATTGAAAAGTTAATTTTCGTAATATTGGTAATTTTTACTTTTTATTCTATTATTTTACAATTAACTTTCCACGTTTTTTCTTTTTTATTCACTTTTGTTGAAATAATTCAAACATTTCATTTTTATTTCCTTTCTTTACTTTGTTGTTAATTCTTGCAAAATGACCTAGATTTTAAGATACTATAAAGAGAACAATATTTTATTATTACGAAATGAAGTATAGGGTAATCCCCTGTTTTGCGAGAAAATATATTTTACAATAAATAAATTAACAAAAAATCGCTTTTTTTGTTTTTTGTTTT